TCCTTTTTTTTTTTTCTCCTTATTTTTACTGTGCCATGACCTTGACCAAAATATCTTTGAAGTATTTGCTGGCTGATTTTCTGCTACGGGACCAGAAAAAAATATCAGGATATATAAAGGATCTTGCCAAAGGAAGTCCTATCTTCCTCAAAATATTTGCCTTCATTCCCAAAGAGAACCTCTTGACTAATAATGTTTCAAAAACTTCTTAATGGAAGGAACTGATAACTTTAATCTCACAGCTACTGTGAGCACCAGAATAATCTTACACTTTCTTTGAACTGACAGATTAATTGTTTTTTGTTTCAGTAGCAGGTGCAGCTTTTCGTGAGTACATAATTGGATGTACATTTTTTTTCAAAAGAACACAGGCCCCTGTCTGGTGCCAAGCTCTTTTTTTTCCCCTTTTTTTTTCCTTCTCCTTTTGGGGAAAAAAAAACCCCATAATTTCATTTTTTAAGTACAATGTAGAAAACTCATATAAGTGTTTGCAAAAAGCCAAATACAAACAAACAACTGTTCACAATACATACTTAAGTCTGTCTCACATGTTTCAGCTATTATCCTGGATTAGAAATTCCATCTGTCATTGAATCCATATGGTTTAACAAATGGCAACTTACAACCATGTATTTTTTGCAGATTTGAAGTTAGCTGTTTTTTCTTGCAAAAGTTTTAATGTCCATGCTAATATCTTTGTGTGTGTGTGTGTGTGTGTGTGTGTGTGTTTCTATCTGTGAGTGTGTCCCTTTGTGCATGTGAAGTACCTGCTAAAATTGCTAAAAATTGTGGTAGGATGCAAGTGGACTTCCTCGATTAAAACACACCAGTTGTACACAAAGCAAATGTTCTCCACCAAATCCAAGAGCCCTATTTTAGGCTTTCCATTATTTCTACTGAAAGGAATAAAGTGAAATGAGGAGAGCTGCCTTTACGTACCTGCAGTCCCCTCTGTGCTTTGGGCAGACACGTGCTTCCACTGGGGAGCGTGGACTGCACGGTCTGAGGCTGGCCTGCGTCCCCTTTCCCTTTGCCAGCCCCCAGGTCACTGACAGCCCAGACAGCTGGCTGCTCTGGTTCTAACACAGCACATCAGTGCAGCCTCCTGGTCACGGGGAATACGAGAAGGCAATCGCTGAGAATTTTATTTCAGTAACTGAAAAAGTTTAACAGTGCAAATGGAGCTATAGACTTTGTTGTCCTGTTTAATGTGAGACCCGGTAACTTGGAGCAAAAAAAGCTGGGAATAATTTTTGTTCATTCACACAGAATCATAGAATCATTTAGGTTGGAAAAGACCTTTAAGATCATTGAGTGCAACTGTTAACTCAGCACTGCCAGGTCCTAAACACTAAATCATGTCCCTCAGCACCACATATAAATCCCTCCAGGGATGGAGACTCCACCACCTTACTGGGCAGTCTCTTCCAGGGCTTGACAACATTTCAGTCAAGAAATTCTTTCTAACATGAAACCTAAACCTTTCCTGGCGTAACTTGAGGCCATATCCTCTTGTCCTGTTGCTTGCTAATTTGGAAAACAGACCAACACCCACCTTGCTCTTTTCAGGTAGATGTAGAGAGCAATAAGCTCTCCCCTGAGCCTCCTTTTCTCTAGGTTAAACAGACACAGTTCACTCAGTTGTTCCACGTAAGACTTGTTCTCCAAACCCTTCACCAGCCTCAGTGTCCTGGTATTGACTGCCCCAAAACTGAACCCAATGCTTGAGGTACAGCCTTACCAGTGCCAAGTACAGTACAGGGGGACAATCCCTTCCCTGGTCCTGCTGGCCACACTATTTCTGATACAAATCATGGCTTGAAGCTCTTTCTCTCTTTCACTCAGTTTAACAAGTCACAAGGATTCTAGCCAGAATAATGGAAATCTCTACGCAGTGCTAGTGTAACAGGCTTAAGTATAGAGTTGTATATGATACCTGACAGATCTCAGAGGTCAGAAAAGGTCTTTTTCTACTAATGTACAAGCACTGTTACCCACTCCTGGGCTACCAGACCTGTGCTAGCAAACACCCTCCTCTTCCTCCCCAGCTGTGGTAAGGAGGTAAGAAAAGTATAAATCTCATCCAGAGTCCTTGGTGCTACAGATGTCAGACTTCACATTGAACTGTACTTCAGGGTAATGTTGAGAAAAGAGAAGAATTTGCAGTCATGGCTTACAAAGTTTTGCCCCATGTCCAGCTTGGCTCTTTTTAGTGAGGCTGAAGCAGCAGGTTTTCCATCTAAACTGAGGTTTAGACACATGGAATTTGTGTTACTTCTCAATAGCCTCATGTGGCTCTGTAAAACTTGCTGTACCAAAGTGGGTTCTGCTTTTCCTGCCTGCAGGGCAGAACTTCTGATGTCTGTGTTTAGGGTCGTGAAAACCAGGCAACGCTTAGTTAGGAGATCTTAACTCAGGATAGGACATAAACATTTTGAGAACAAAACAATTGCAAAGTAGGGGAAGTTTGTAATGCTCTATTTACGTACCTCCTTCAAAACCATACTAATTTCTGACTTAACACATGGCTCCTGAACTTTTCCTCCACTACTTCTTTCCTCTTGCTCCCTCCCACCCTTCCTTAATACCTTCTCCAACCTCGCAGATGTAGTGGGCCAGTCCTCTGATCTGAACCTTTAGAAATACACATGGTCCCATTTCCCTTTCTCATTTTCACAAACTGCTGCAGCTGCTCCAGTCTGACTTTGAGAAAAGAAAACTTGCATAAAGAAAAACCTGCCCATCTTTCACTGTAGAGAAGCAGGTTTTTCATTTTAAAGGTAGAGACAGTTCTCTTAGGGTACATGTCTAGGCCTAAAGAGTATGTACCGATATGTCAGTTGAAGAGTATTCATTTTTGAGTAGGGGTATGTATTTCTTGATTCATAAAAGCAATCCTTGGCAAAGGCAGGTGCACCGCAGGGCTGAAAAACTGCAGCTTGCCTGCGAGACAACGGAAGACACATTTTAATGATGTTCAGCATGATGCCATGTGAGATTTTCTGATCACATTCAGATCTTGTGGTAATTTTTCTAAGCCTTCACAGGTAGGGCTCGGTGCATTAATTTGCATAGGTTACAAACATTTCTTTAATGTTCTTAATTTCTACCTGCCCTGGCTGCATGGACATGACTGGAGGTCTTTTGGAATATGCATGGTAACAGGCATAGACAGAAAAGAGGTCCCATAAATGTCCTGTGGTTATCTTTGTGGAAATTTTTAGTCTGTCCAAATTAAAAGGCCTGCCAGATGTTCAAAATGTAATAAAATTCCTAACATCACATCACTGATGGTTTCATTGCTACGAAGATGAGTCCAAAGAGACAAGATGCCAAAAATGCTTTCTTGTCTCCACTTGACACTGGGAATGGATATGACAGATACCATCTATGGAGGCTCCTCTCAGTGCAGTGAAAGGCATAGATGTGAAGATGTAGAAATCTTGACCCAGTGAGGTGCTGAGACAAGTTTGGGCATTATTTAGAGCAGAAAAGAGCACCAGTCTAGCAGCTCCTTGTGCTTGAAGAGTCAACAGGGATAACTAATGTTCAACACAAACCCAACTAGGCAGAGATCTATTCTGTAAAGGATCTGTATCTATGGAGCATACCTGGAGCTCAGTGTGATTTTCCCTTGACTGTTCTTAGCGATGACTCGTGGTTAGCATTGACTTGATTGAATTGGTTGCTGCTGCAACTCTTTTCTAGATGTGGGTGAGCCTTTGCAGTCTCTCCACTACATTTCTGCTGTCACTGTTTCACAGAGGTCTTGGAGGTGCAGAGCCCCTGGCCATGTATGGTCCCACTGGTCCACATTTCCAAAGGTCCTCCACATTTGTGACTGGGGCCAAATCTTCTGAGGAGGTCGGTCTGTTGTGTACTGAAGTCTTGGAATTCTGCCCACCATTGTCACAGTGGGAACAGGCTTTGAGCAGTCTTGGAAATCTGGTCCTTATTTAGGAACCAAAAAGACAACCAAGCTCACAAAACCATGTCAGTGTATCTGGTTACTGAGCAACTGAAAATCTGCCCTCATTGTACTTCAGGATTAACTCAGGATTACTAAGCACATCACTACAACAGTAAATTGAGATAAAGGTGAATCAAGGATAATAAAAATATAGCAGTATTTCATCAGCAGCTATTTGAACTGTAATCTCAAAAAACCTCAAAACCTTCACATGAAAGGATCACCTAAACTACCTTGGAATGCAGGCCTGCTGGAGTGAAGATTTGTTACTGAATCTTTATCAACAGAAAAGAGGCAAAATCAGTCAGTCTGTGTGCAACATGATGGATCTTAATGTTTATATCAAGTATTTCATTTAATCCTTACTTTTATTTTTGGATTTTTCTGATTACTTTCCTTGCATTAATGAGTCTATGAGAATTAACAAAACTTTTTTCTATACTCAACTTTGGGTTCATATCAGCTAAGTATTTCTTGTCTACTTATATTCATTGCATTTATGCAATTATGCTCTGAATGTGCTTTTATAGAAGCTTAAGAAAATAGCCATACTTTAAAATACATGTCCAGTTTAAAAGTCATAGCTACAACAGCACATAAATTTAATTTTCTTGTTGGAGATATTCTATTATGTGTATGTATTAATGCATATAAATTCAAAGCAACTATTACGGAATGTGATGCTTTAAATTAAAAGCAAAAAACATAGTTGATACTTGCTATTAAGGCTTTTATTATGTGACTTAATGACAAAATAAAATCTAAAGTAGATAATAAACCAGTAATGTAATATGGTAGTTACACTGTAATTAGCTATCCTAACTTTTTTTAAAGGAAAAAGGCATGTTCTAGATTGTTATTCACTTTTCACGTTAGGAAAAAAAGGCCTTTCTGCGAAAATTTGATGTCCAACTTTTTTGAAGTGTGATTTTTTCATATCTAGAATTTTCTTTACATTATTACATTTTATACCCATTTTACTCTTTACTTCCTGATTATCTTTTTAATTCTTTTGTTTCCCCTTCTTTAGTCACTGAACGGCTTTGCGCTGGTGGTGAGTGCAGATGGGATGATATTTTATGCGTCATCGACGATTGTGGACTATCTAGGGTTTCATCAGGTAAATATATTAGCAAATATTTTGAATACCTAGTCACTGTCATTGTAATGACTTTCTTAGAGTCAATCATGCTAACTGGCTTTCTAAAATGCAGCACTCTCTGTTGTTTCACCTTATCCTTCTGCTGCCAATTAGACAATACACTATTACTGAAATTAAGCTATTTTACTATGCCATTTCAGACTTACTTTTTTTTTTTTTTTCATGATCTGACAGGTGAGGATGAATTCCTGGTAATGTTGTTCCTTTTGTTAACAGAAACTTGATCCATTATAAAGATAAGATTTAATTAAAAGTTTCCTTTCAATTTCAGTATAAGATGCAGCTCTTCTAGACTGGTTGACTGTGTATAATAAATATATTGTAAAGCACAGAATAACAGAACCATGTAGCTGGAAAAGACCTCCGGAGGCCATCTAGTCCCATGTCCTGCTCAAAGCAGATGCAATTAGAGCAAACTGAACTGGGACTCATCTAGTCAAGTTTTGAGTTTCTGTGACCCCTCTGGAAGACATATTCTAATGTTTTAACCACTCTGACTGTAAAATTTGCACTTGAATCAAGCCCCAGTTTCCCATCTTGCAACTTGTGCCCGTTACTTCTTGTCCTCCCACTTTGTTCTTCTGAGAAGAGTTGGGCTGTGACTTCTCTGCACCCGCTCGTTTGGTTGATGTCAACAGCAGTAAGTTCTTCCTGAAGTTTTCTCTTCTTAAGGCTGAACAAACCTTGTTTTCCTCTCCTGATATGTCACATGCTCCAGCCCTCTCAAGTATCTCGGCAGCACTCTCCTGGGCTCACTTTGTTATACTAATATCTTTCTTTTCCTGGGGTATCCAAATTTAGAGAAAACTTTGCCTTTGTTGAACTTCCTGAGGTTCCTGTCAGCATATTTTTACAGCCTGTCAAGGTCCAAATAGCTATCCTGGTCTCCCAAGTTGGTACTCTGCTGAGAGTGCACTCTATCCCATCATTCAGTAATCAAGAAATTAAACAAGGTTGGTCCCAGCATCATCCCTGGGGCTGTCATTAGTCACTGGCTACAAGCTGGATTTTTTAGGACTTACATTTGCATATGCACAAAAGAATTAAGAATAATAAGAATCATCGTAGGATATAGTGACGGGGGCAAATGAGCACAAACTAGAACACAGGAAATTCCATCTGAATACGAGGAAAAAATTCTTTACTATGAGTACTTTACCGGGAACACTGGAGCAGGCTGCCCACAGGGCCTGTGGAGTCTTCTTCTCTGGAAAGGTTCAATACCTGCCTGGATGTGATCCCAGGCAACCTGTGCTGGTGAACCTGTTCACCTGCAGGAGAGCTGGACTAGATGATCTCCAGAGGTCCTTTCCAAAGCCTGCCGTGCTGTGATTCTGTAAACCTGCAGAAGACAAATGAGCAGGTTCATTTCATTCTTCAGTGCTGATTAAGTTTCCAAGTTCAGCTCAGTGCCCCAGCTGAGACCTGCAGCCGGTGTGTGGGACAAGAGCTGCTCGAGTCTGCTTTGCCACCACCAAGTTGTCTGTGGAGCTGCATCTTTGGTGGCTCTTCACAAGGGTTGGCACTGTGGCCGCTAGGCAGGAGAGCACAGGAATAGCCTGTGTTTTGATGACTTCCAAGGAAGGCACCTGTCTAAGTGGCCTAACAGTGATGTGCTATGTGACACACAGCCTTCTGGGGGTTTTCTTGGTAAATATAGTGGGGATTTTTTTAGCAGTTCTTGGGGCACCCAGGATGGTGAGGTCTGCTGTGGTCAGCAGTGTGTGTACTCAGATGGTACTGGCACCAGTCCTTTGAGGACAAGAGGAAACAGCCTCAAGTTTCTCCAGGAGAGGTTTGGGTTGGATATTAGAAAAAATTTCTGCACCAAAAATGTTGTCAAGCACTGGAACAAGCTGCCGAGGGATGCGATGGAATCACCATCCCTGGCGGGATTTCACAGCTGTGCAGATGTGGTGCTTAGGGACATGGTTTAGCGGTGACATGGCAGTGCTGGGATAATGGTTGGACTTGATGATCTTAGAGGTCTCTTCCAGGCACAATAACTCTATGATTCTTTGAAGTCAAAAAGCAGATGTTGAAAAAGAGAGGCTTCTGAAATAACTTTCCTCAACTGATCTTTGCTCTGAAGGTAGCTTACACCAGTCATTATTTTAAGGAAAGTATCAACCTAAAGATAAGTGTCTGCCCCACTATGCTTACAAATTAAGACATTCCTTGTTGTAATTGTTTCAGACTGATGTAATGCACCAAAACATATATGATTACATTCACGTGGATGACCGCCAGGATTTCTGTAGACAACTGCACTGGGCCATGAACCCTCCCCAGATGTTGTCTGGACAGCAACTACAGACAGAAACAGGTGGGATTATACCTGTTGATTGGAAACATAGGCGACGCTGTATAGAGGTAGAATTGAACTCCACCTACACCCATGTCTGTTCCATGTCAAGTAAAATTCTTCACTGGAAAGCTGCATGGTGGCCATTTATAATGTTATTATTCCATAGACGATGTTTCTTCCTGATCCTTGACATTTATAAGGTAGTCTGTGCCATTGAGGCTACAGAGTTTAGGTTTCCTTTATTTTTCTCTGCCTAATGTACCAATTTTCTTAGTCATGCAGAATAATAGAATCAGTGTTCATCCTACCAATCTTTTGTTCACAGTAATCAGGATATTAGTGTTCCTCTCATTAATGCAAAAACATCCCAGGCAAAATATTTCTATACAGTACCACTGTGGCAACCTAACTTTCTGCCATTTGTTCTCCCATGCAAAATTATGTAGACAGGAGCCCTCAAAAAACAAGTAAGTTTAGCAGTGCTTTCTTTCCTCTGAGGCTCTATATCCCTAGGATGGCAGGTGGATATATGTGCTCAAGGTTTCTCCTACATGAGGCATTAAACTGTAATCATGACTACAGAAAGTACAACAGGGTTGAAATTGTTAAAATTATAAAGAATTCTTGATCCCAAAACAATGTATGCATTTCATCAGAAAGTGAGGAAGTAATAGAGGAAAGAAATTGAGGAAGTAGAGTCTGCAGATAAATGGGGAGAAACTTGCACTACATCCTTCAGCAGCCTTTTTGAAGTCCTCAGGAACATAGTCATGAACCTTCAGTAGAACTTCTTGTAGTTTCTGTGTTTTGCAAGCATCTTGCAGATCTCTGAGGAACTTTCAAAGATTTTCTAGGAAGCATGCAGAAAACAAACTAAACAATGTACATTACTATTTCAATCTCTAAAAAGTGACAAATATTTGGAATTTGTGTCTTAATATATACAGCGGAGAATTAAATTCTCCAGTCCACATTTCTGTACAAATACTTGTGTCTTTTGGGAAATAAGTATTCCGAAAGGTATGCACTTGTAGTCCAAAACTGGGAAATGCGTCCTTAAAAATCAAGGAGGCAGGAGCTGAACATTAGCTAATCAGCCACGGTTCATTTTTTTCTTCATTATCTTTTTTCCTTATTTTGTTCCTTTTTCTAATATATTTTCTGTGATCTCTGATCTCAAAACCAGCAACATCTGCTACCCTGCTTTGTGTCATTAAGAATCACAAAAAACTCAGGAAATGAAAAAGTAAAAGTTTCTGAAGAAGCTCACCTGAATCCCATTGTAGAGCTTTGTGTTTTGTCTTTTGGTAGAGCATGTGCAGATGTATCTATACATGACACAATTTAATATTCACCCTGCCATGAAGTAGTCTTTTGCAGTTTCCATAACAACTTCTTCAGTTGGCTACAGAACACTTTTATTCTTTCTTAGTGTGATCTGATATATATTACCTCCACTGTTGTTCCTAGGAGAAGAATATATTCTCAGTAAATTCTTCAAAGCACAGGAGAATGACAGCACAACTACAGATTATTCTTCCTTCTTAACTCGCTGTTTCATCTGTCGAGTTCGCTGCTTGTTGGACAGCACTTCTGGCTTCCTGGTAAGTATAATTTCACTTAGAGAACTGTAGTCATGACATACTAGATTTTAAGTACTTCATATGAAAAATATTTCAACATAAATGTAGAGAGCCATGGCCAGGATACATGTTTACTGTGCACTAACTAGAAACACCTACAGACACTTATTAATATGTATAAAGAATTATGGGAAAAAAGAAGCATGTTGAAAGAATCTATAAACCTTTATGTTTTAAGCTTTTTTGGCCAATATCTGTCCTCATTTTTGCCCTAGTCCAAGGGTGGCAAACCTGACTTTCAATGATTAACACAAAGTTTAAGGAGCAAGAACAGCAATGATTCATTTTCCCCTTTTGTAAAGGATCCTTTAATAATAAAACCCAGAATTAGAAAGTCTCTCACATGCTCTTTAAATATCCTTACCAGAAGTGGCTCATTTCTAGAAATCACTTCCCCATTTGCTTAGTACAGGCCAACGCTGTTTCTTCTCATGATGACAAGGTATGGCACGGAAAAGAAAATGAGAGGATCAGCATGAGACAGGGAAATGCAGCTTCTGGCTCAGATGCTGGAAGACCATGGGTCTGAACAGTCATAATAGGTAGTCATTTCTGTATCCTTGTAGCTCTGGAAAATGGCCAACTCACATGGACTGATTTTTCTCTGGTCATTTTGTGGCAGGTAATTTTTTTCACTGAGAAACAGCAGTTTTCTGCCTTGATCTCTGCCTTCTGATTTTATGGTGATTTGAGGCAGGGATGGATGGTTCCTTCCAAACTATGTACTTTGTATCTGGCTATTTTGGGCATATCTTTTTCCTTGGCATCTGCCTGCACAGCCCTTGGGTTATACTTACCAAAGGAAGTGCAGGGCAAGGCGAAAGAAACTCAGGAATCATTTTACTGAAGAGAACAGAGCATGGAAAAATAATATTTGCAGCTTCAGAGTGAAGCACAGAGGAAATAACTCTTTGCACCACCATACACTGCTCGTCTATTGTGGCCTTCCAGTATCTTAGGGGGGCCTACAAGAAAGCTGGGGAGGGACTTTTTAGGATATCGAGTAACAACAGAACTAGAGGGAATGGGGCAGATTCGGGCTGGATGTGAGGAAGAAGTTCTTCCCCATGAGAGTGGTGAGACCCTGGAATGCGTTGCCCAGGGAGGTGGTTGAGGCCCCATCCCTGGGGGTCTTTAAGGCCAGGCTGGATGAGGCTCTGGGCAGCCTGATCTAGTGGGAGGTGTCCCTGCTCATGGCAGAGGGGTTGGAACTGGGTGATCCTTGTGGTCCCTTCCATCCCTGACAGATTCTGATCTGTTTTAGCAGAGGACTTTAGAGCCCTAATGGCTTAATGGTTGGATTTGATGATCTTGGAGGTCCCTTCCAACCTAAATGAATCTATGATTCTATAACACAGAACTTCCATGTTAAATGCACAGGAGAGAAAAAAAAAAAAAAAACACCACCAAACAAAAACCCAAAACCAAAACAAAAACCAGCCTCAATGTCTCAATTTACTGTTGATAGTATCTCCACTCACTGTGCCCCTGAAGTGGAGTGGTTTAATTGTAAGAAGTTAATGAAATTCCTAGTTTTCCACCCTGTATCAAAACTGGTTTTGGTTTTAAACAACACAGTCCATAGGTCGTATTAGCATTTTAAATGTTCATACACTAAATGCTTAAAATAATTCTATTTTTTTTTTTTTTCTAACAGACAATGCAGTTCCAAGGCAAACTCAAGTTTCTTTTTGGACAAAGGAAGAAGTCCTCATCAGGAACAGTACTGCCACCTCAGCTGTCCTTATTCTGCATAGTGGTACCACTTCTACTCCCTTCCATGACAGAGATGAAGATGAAAAACCTGTTTGTGAAAGCAAAGCACAAAGCTGATGATGCAGCAGCAGTGAATACAAAGTATTTCCCAATTAATCTTGTAGCAGTTAGTAAAGTATACTACGGGCTTTATGATTATTAAGCATGGAAAAAGCACAAATTAGGCTAAATAACTATTTTTAAACCTTTCCTTAGAAAATGAATAATTTATCTGGATTTTACTATGTTATGCATAATGGCTATGATCTATTCTAATCTAATTGAATAGAATTATAATATATAACAAATATATTGTAATTTTTATATAATACGTATTATATTGCTACATATAATTTTATATAAAAACTGGAAAGTTAGAACATCTTCCTAACTTTTAGAAGTTACCAACACAGTGAGACATTCTACTAGTTGTAAAAGTAGAAAAGAGAAAGTATTTTCAGAGTTTTCAAATTTCAGTATCTTCTCGTAGCATAGTTATTTGCACTTGGGCCTTTTGGTAGCAAACAAAGGAAAAGGAAACCGTCAGAAAGCTGAATGTGCATGTGGGGGCTCTTCACACAGAGTCAAATGAGATGTGTTTGGTGTACGTATTTATCTTACAGTGTAAGGCTTATGAACACAGAAGCCTACAATTGCACTGAACGGCCTGAGGCTGATCACTTGGTAACAGTCACAGAAGATCAGGACTGATTGTGTTTAGATCTATTTCCTTCCGAACACTTATTTTTGTTACTCTCCTATGGTTGAATTTTAGTTGATGTTTGAGGCTAGGATTATGTTTTCCCTTATTTGGTTAAAGGTAACCTCACAGCACTAAGGTTCAGTGCTCTGAAGTAAAATACTCATCAGTGTGACTGACAACACCATAATCTGGCTTTTAATTAGAATATGCTCATGTATGTGTGGACTTACTATCCAGACGTGCAATGGGGTTCTAGCACATGTGTCCTTTTGACAAGAATGAAATTACTGGAAGGCTGATAGAAGGGGCTATACAGCCCCTTCTGGAACAGAGCTGGAAAGTCATTTCCACTTGCAAAATTTTCCTGCAGCCCAGGTGAAGTGAGCTGATGATAAGAATTCAGCTCCTAGAAGAGAGGTGCTTTACTTAAGTTTTACTAACTGACTGAACAGTGGCCAAGGATTTGACAAGAATGAAGTGGGCATTTAACTTCAGTGTTTCCTGAACCGAAGGCCTGAAGCACACTGGCCAGGGTTGGCCAGCAAATTTATATTGTCATTTCTTTTCTGATGGTCTTAATAAAGGGGAAAGTTTGTATAGCAGTGTTATGGACTTTGCACACTTTCAAAGCCCTGATACGCATTTTGAACTAAGGATGGAAGAAATCCATTCAAATCATATGAGGATTTTTTCAAACCGAAGTCATGCTGCCTCTTAAGTGCACTGCTGGTCAGTGTGATGTTTGTACCTTGAATGTACCCTGAATAGGCAGAGCAGAATACACAGAGCATTTGTCTCAATTCAAGCTGCAATTTATTATTCCAGATATAGTAAGTTGTGAGCAGAATATTACTATATATCACTATGAACTAAGTACATAATTCCAGTCATCCACTAGTTTGAGCAACTGAATGTTGCAAAAAACAGATAATTATTTAGTATTGGCTACTATATAATTAAATCATAAATCTTTGCTAATGGGCAACAGCTTAAAGATCACATCTTTGAGAGTCTGTGATTCTACTGTGTTGTCATTCACTGACATGAAATTTTCCACATTTTCTGTCCTCTACAGCTCCAGTTCCAAAGGTAATTCAGGGCTGTGTGAAGCAGCAGAATTGTATGGAAGGAACAGTCATCATGAAGGTGCCACTTTTACTAATGTGTTACAAATCACTGAAAACCAAATCAAAGGTGTGTCTGCTAAGTACTTATATACAGTTTATGGAGAAAGAACTTTGTCTTTTCTTTTTTTCCTGTTAGTTTTTTTTAGGTTTTTGTCCCAATGCTCCCTGTTTTGTTCTCCTGAAACCCCTTCTTTAAAAAAATGCAAAAACGTTTTCCTCCTCAAAAAAAGCAGACATCTGTGCTGACTCGGTCTGCTAGTTCAGAGTGTGCAGAAATACTGTGATGCCAAGTCTAGAGATACAGAAACAATCATAGTATATAAGAATACTCAATGAATGCTTTCCTAAAAATGGCAACACTGAATTTAATAAGATTATGTGAAAACCTTAATAATTAGTGACAATACCTATCCTTATTTGAGGGAAACTGGGTGATATGTTACAAATGCTAATTCTCCCCAGACGTCAAAAAATGGTGGAAAACTAGAACGTGTAGTCTTTAAATCTCATTTGCTCGCAGCTTTGACTTACAGTTTCCCAGTGTTTTGTTCTGGCAATAATATGGGGGTCTATGCTGAATTTCAGATTTTACAATGGGTAAAATGTTGATGATGGGCCTACCCCAATGGCAACTTCTTCTTGAGTAGAGTTGTACTCAGCCTTTTGTCATACACACTGGAAACCTTTAAATTCATCAAAACCATTCCTCTGTCACAGCCCCATTTTTCATGAACATTTTCTTGTTGGTATAGTACTACTACTGAGAGGAAAAAATTATAATGAACTAATAATACTGAAAAATCCGTGGTCACAGCTTAAGTTCCTCATTAGGCTTTTCAAATTTTATTTTTTAAATGTAATTTCTTAGTTTTGTGACATATTTTAGCTTTTCTATGCTGATGGTTCCAGGGCAAGAGAAAATACTAAATACTGCTTGTATTAAAATAACTTTTCTTTTAAATTGAACAGCAAAAAATAATGGAGAAAATGGCATTTCTCTAGTCAAAGTACAAAGAAATGAAGACCACTGGGTCTGGGTTCAGGCTAACACTCAACTTCTGTATCGAAGTGGTTGTTCAGAATACGTCCTTGCCCAACAGCAAACGTTAAAGTAAGTATATTTTTGAATACTAAAAGAAATTAACTCTTTCAGAAAAATATATGTATTCTTTATGTGTGAGATCTTTAGAGGGACAGTAGTGACCTAAGAGAAGAGCTGAATGAGAAAGATTTAGTTAACCTATGAAATGGAAATCCATTTTTGTCTTCAATCATATGAAATAGCTGTTCTAATCCTGACCAATATTTACTTTTCCAGTCTTTTTCTTCAGAAGTTGAGCATACATACATACAAAGCCAGAGTATTTCAAAACCAAAATGCTAGATTATTGATATGTTTTGAATTTCTTGCACAAAAATGTATTTTGGGGTTTTGTTTACTTTGCAGCAGAAACTCTTTGATGATTTAGTGTCCTGTTCTACTTTTAAACATTTTATTATTTTAAGCCCTTTTTTTTCTTATGGATAACAGTTGAGCTTATCCTTTTAGTTGTGGATGTTCAACGTTATTTACAGAGGGATGCTCATATTCATTGTATGTTTGTAGACAGATACATCCAGTTGGCAGTAGGCTTGAAGTGGATGCTAATCTCACAGATCTGCATTCAGAGGGGACGTCTCTGCTGGGTTTCACCCTTTCCACCAAAAAAGGTTTTTCTTTCTTCCACCATGGGATTGTCTGTTCCAGTTCCTGTGGGCCTTGTTGAGGTATCTCTTCAAGGTGGTCTGAGGGAAGATATAAGAGAGTGGACTGAATGATCAGAGGCCAAAAGATGCACACAGCTGCCATCTGGCCTAGTGGAAAAAATGTGGCTGTTATCCCTGGTTTTTTCCTTTAGGATGCCTCACAGGTGGAAGAAATAAATGAAAAAGTCTTTGAACTTCTAGAGTAGATAGCCCTTGCAGGCACCATATCTCCCAGGGTCTACATGAATAGCAGAGAGTCTCCTGCCTGAGGGTGCTGGAACTCTTCACCTTTACTGGGACGGCACAAACATCATCTTGCTTACATGAGGGAATGAACTTCTATTAAGAAGCAGATTAAAAGGGGCTGGTTCTTATATTCACGTCTTTACTTCTAAATTGGTTTGTGTAATTAAGCCTGCTCTTTGATGTTTATTTAGCTACATTTTTACCCTCTGAGTGGTTAAAGTCCTTCCTTTGGGCTTGATAGTTCCTGCAGACTGAAGCAGTACAAGAGTTGGCCTTAGAGATTATGTTCACTTCTGTCCTCCTGATAGTCTACAACAGACTTAATCTTTACTACTACTTTTTGTGTGTGTGTGTGTTAAAATGTATGCTGTGTTATTGAAAACATACATTCTTTTGGAGAATTTTCACTAGATACTGCATCACTGTATAAGTCTTCATTTGGTGTTTTAAGTTTTTGTGACTACTGCACAATTTAGACCACTTCCTGAGAACTTAGTTCTCCAGCAAACTTGTATCATACCATTTACATCTCAAAACTATCAGTAATAACAATAACAATATTTAGCAGAAGTTTGAAAATATTTAACTCCTAAAGGAAAAAAAAAAAATAGAGAAAATATTCTTTCTTAGTGTACATTTACTACAGTGGGACATTCTCTCTTTGTAACAGCATGGACTCCCTCTACTGGAACACCCTGTATTTGCACAGTATGTCCATACTCAAGGAAAAAGTTCTTAATAGTGAGCTAACAAAAAGCCTTCTAAAATCCTTACTAGCTCTCCAGGTTTTCATGTTCCATTTCTTACTGAGATGTCTGAGATATACTGAGAGGGAAGGAGGTGGTTTCATAGCACTGATCCTGCCTGCTCGGGAATCAGCACGTTAGTGAATTCAAGTCAAATCCTGAACCTAAAGATTTGGACCCCAAGTTCTGAAAACTGCTGCACTGGGCATAGAAGTGCTCAGGCAACTTTCTTTTCGATCGCACCTCTCTCATGTTGGTTACTTCACCTGAAGTTCCTGGAAAATGAGTTCAAAGGCCACCTTAGAAAATTAAAACCAACATCAATTAAGTTAAACATGTAAAATAACCCTATACACAATATGAATGTCTGTGACTATTCTGGACACTTAATTCAGGCATTTCATTTCCTCTCAGCTAACTCTGCTTTTTCAAAATAGAAGACCCCCATGGTCCTCCCTCAAATCAGTTTGATCAGAATCATAGAATCATAGAATCA